TTTTAAAAAAAAAAAAAAAAAAAAAAAAAAAAAAAAAAATGAAATCCTGTATAAAAAATACTAATAATAAATCAGTAAGTAATGCCAATATTAATTGCACATTGATATTTAAAATTATATTTATTATTACTATTACTATTTTCTAATATTAAATTACAATTCATATTTTGACCGTTCAATACTTAATATAATATAATATTTTTACTGAAACAATCGAACAACCCAAATCAGACTGAATCTTTTTGAATCATGGACCGAATCAGCTCAGATGATTCACTTGCTCAACTAAACTACAAAATACAATATCAGACTCAAAATGAGTAAAGAACTTTTACTTTGTTATGTTGACTTTTTAAAAGCAATGTTAAAATAGCAGGAAATGATAGGAGGAAGTATTTTAAATGTCAAAAATGGCATACTTCAGCTTTAAATGCAAGTTTTGCAAGCTATGGTGTTGGCCACTGATAAACTTGCGGCAATCCGGACTTGCCGTATCACTGATGAACATTGTCTGCTATCAGGATCCAGTAGCATGCTTTAACATAATCAAAGGCAAAACCATAATCCCAAGAACATCCTCCAGGCGTTCTATGTTCCCGAATTATTTTTAGCTTTGAGTGTCATGACCCTCTGCTGTTTTTACAACAAAACACACACAAAAAAACTTTAGGAGAAGCTTGGAGATGATTGTCAGCGTGAGAACCGGACAAGGCAAAGCAAGCAGGATTGTTTTACCTCCTCCATTTCAAATGAGTCTCTGGGCTGGCTGAGTAGGTGGGCTATGAGCGGGTTGGGCAGCAGGTTGGTCGGTTCTTTATCTGGGGTGGAAGTGATGGTCTCCTGGCACTCAAGTTCCTTGAAGTCACTCTCGTCAGACACCCGACTGATGCTCACCAGGACCGGGGAAAGGGACATGTCTTTATCCAGAGCTGGTGTCTCAGTAGAGTGGTCACCATTCATTAACGTAGAGTCCTTAGACAGAGGTTTTGGGGCGTTTCCATTGAGTGAAGCGTCTGAGATACTTTGTTGGGCCTCCTCAGTCACTGTGGCCAGAGATGAATCTTTTTTTCTAAAGACTTTCTGCTGTAGTTTGTGCTCCGTATCCATCAGTCCGGCCCCTACATCAGAGTTTGCACCTTCTGTGTTGTCAACGTCAGACGCTGAAGGCTGTTTGGCTGTTCCTTCCATGACAGAGGCCAGCAGGTTCTGTTTCGTAATGTTCCGTTTTAGAATCTTGGCCACATTCAGAGCGGAATTATTCCTTTTTAATGGAGAGGGGGTTTTAGTCTCTATGTCGCCGCTGCCGATTCTCTCCATGGGTCTTCCAGACACTTGGGAGTAGATCTCAGAGAAGACATTTGCCACCGTGGCCAGAACTTCTGTTTGACGGAACCGACCTACAGAAGAAACAAAAGAAGAGCTTTAGAACAGACAATTTCCTATGCACAACTAGCTTGAAACCTTTAAATTATTTACTCAAGATAAAAAAAGAGAAAAAATAAATAAATTACAATAGAAAAACAATAGAAAACACTAAAGAAACGTCAACTTCAAGCAGCATTTCCTGCAATTGCTACGGCAAAAAAAGTTAAAGTAATAAAAAGAACAAAAAATAATGGTTCATTAATATACAAAAATGGTAATAATAACAATAAATCACAATTATTATAATATAATTATTATTATTATATATTATTCATAATATAATTGTTTTGTTAATACTGTAATAAAATAAATATAATATATTCTAAACATTATGAATTGTAGGGCTTTAAACAAAGAATAATATATTATTAATAATATAAAATATATAATTGTTGTTGTTTTTAATATAGTACTTTTTCATATTAATGTTCAATAAATAATAGATTGCATATAATATAGCATAACATAACATAACATAACATAACATAACATAACATAACATAACATAACATAACATAACATAACATAACATAACATAACATAACATAACATAACATAACATAACATAACATAACATAACATAACTTAAATATCCAGAATTGTATAGAGCTTCGACAAATAAAGGAATGAAAGAATGATATCCGACAAATAAAATAATTTTTGAAAGTCGAACTGCAAATTAGACTGAATTGACCACAGGAGTCATCATTCTGAATCAAAATGAGTCAAGAACTGCTTCTGTTTAAGGTCAGGTCATAACGTTACTCTGTGAAACATAATCAAGCCACTCTAATAGGAATCTGTGTGATCTGGAAAATTCTAAAATTTCAGGGTTTCCCGCTGCAAAAACAAGATCCTGTACAAAACACAGCAACTTTTGTGTGACTTGATGGTCTTTATCAACATCAAGCTCGTCATTTGTTCTGGCGGACATAAAGGAAAAGGATATGACAATACTGCTGGCATGTAATGGAATGATAACAAGTGATAACAAGCCAGTGATGGGTTTTGCTCAGAAATCAATAGTCTTCATTTATCTCATGCAATGCAGCCAGGCTGTCTGAGTCAGCGTTCAGGAACGGTTTGCAGGACATGTGCCAGAAAAAGAAAAGAGGAACAGAGAGTGTGGTTTTCTGTGAGAGAGGGACAAGCACGTCCGATTGGAGATCACAGCCCCCACAGACGAGCATTTGTAGAAGCATACGTTATGTAAGAAAAGTCAACAAGACATGGGAAGACAAATCCACAGAACACCTCACAGTAATGTGAATAAACATTCACATACACTTCTTGGTTGAAATGCCCGCCTAGTGGGTATTAGCACAAACAGTTGTTAGTCTTAAGTGAGTGTAAACAAGTGTTTTTTTAAAGACTCAAAACATCTGCACTAGTAACCTAAAGACCCGTTGCTGTTAGTAATATTGTTCTCTTTTCCTTGTCATTTTTTTCTTTGTTTCTTTCTTTTTAGTTATTGTTTTCTTGTTTGCTTTAACAATAACGTGTGAGTTTAATAATTACTTGAATTAATAATGCTAATGTTTATTTAAATGAATTTATGTAAGTGAGAAATTCTTTGTTATACTTATATTAATATTTTAAGTAAACTATGCAATTACACACACACTACTGGTTAAAAGTTTGGGATCAGAACGATTTTTAATGTTTTTTTACAGGAGTTTTTTATGCTCATCAAGGCTGCATTTATTTGATTAAAAATACAGGAAAAAATGTAATATTGTGAAATATTATTATTATGTAAAATAATGTTTTTCTATTTTAATATACATTAAAATTTATTTCTGTGATCAAAGCTGAATTTTCAGCATCATTACTCTTCAGTGTCACATGATCCTTCAGAAATCATTATAATAAGCTGATTTATTATCAGTGCTGGAAACGGTTGTGCTGCTTAATATTTTTTTGGAACCTGTGATACATTTTTTCAGGATTCTTTGATGAATAAAAAATTAAAAAGAAGAGCATTCATTTAAAATGGAAATCTTTTCTAACAATATACACTACAGTTCAAAAGTTTGGCGTCAGTAAATCTTTCTTTCTTTTTTTGAAAGAAATTAAAACTATTATTCAGCAAGGATGTGTTAAACTGTTAAGAAGTGAGAGCAAAGATTTATATTGTTAGAAAAGATTTATATTTTGAATAAATGCTGTTCTTTTTAACTTTTTCTTCATCAAAGAATCCTGAAAAAAGTATTGCAGTTTCCAAAAAAAATATTTGGCAACACAACTGTTGCCAACATTGATAATTCTATTAATAAATCAGTAATAAATGATTTCTTAAGGATCATGTGACACTTTATACTGGAGTAATGGCTGATGGAAATGCAGCTTTGCATCACAGAAATAAATTATATTTTAAAAGATATTAAAATAGAAACCATTATTTTATATTGTAATAACATTTTGCAAGATTACTGTTTTTTTGTATTATTGATCAAATAAATGCAGCCTTGATGAGCATAAGAGAATTCTTTAAAAAAAACTTTACAAGAACACAGCGTCACACATGGCGGGCTTGAGTGAGCGGAGGCCGGAGGGCTAGAGAATGGCGCGGCCGGCGGATTCGACGAAGGAGGCTTGCGGCAACCACATGTGACGACCCCGGGCTGGACTCTGCTTTATCTACGGTGAAAGCCGATCTGGCGATCCACAGCGCGAAGTTGATGTATTTCCTCAGCGACCAGCACGGATCAGCTCCAGGCATGACGAAGCAGATATCATCCTCTTTTGGAAGACCAAACAAAGTAGTTTCGCTTTCACAATGAAACGCACAGCGCCTTCACGACATGGCGGAAACAAAAATACTACAGCGAGAATAAAAGTTACGCCTTCTTTCTTTGCGTGAACATTTGGGCGGCGTTATGCAAATCTTCCCAGATAGTGACGTAGGTATGTGGGGGCGTGTTAGAATGAGCCGTTTTAGGTAGGCGTGGCTGACTCTTAACTTTTATAAAGAATATCTCTTTGGATTTGAGACTTTAGTCTTTGCAACTTACAGATCTTCTTTATGCACCAAGAGCTTGTAACACTCCAAAAAGAAAAGGAAAAATTGAAATCGCATCATATGACCCCTTTAATACATATGTATTACATTTTATTTTTATGTATCAGATTTTATTTTTTAGATTTTATTGATGATTATAGAAGATTTTCTTAGATTTTATTTTTGTATTTTTTGTTCTCATTTTAATTTAATTTTAAGTTTTAGTAATTTTGTTTTGCATTGTATTAGTGTAGCGAATTTAGCTCACAACAGGAAATATGAATAATTAACCATAACTAGTTATAATTAACTATTCATATTTTAGAT